CAGCTTCATTACTCTTCTCTGGACCTTCTCCACAACTCCGTATCCTTCTTGTAGTGAGGTATCCAGAACTGACAGAGGATTTGAGGTGCAGCCCCACCAGTGCTGAGTACAGGGGGTGCTGTTGGCATTCTTGGCCATCTTGAAGCCATTTGTTTATCACAAAATATACCTATTAAAGTAAATATTTCTGTACTGTATTTGAAGTTCAGAGATCACCCTTGCTACCAAAGCACTGAAAGAAATTCATAAAACAGATCAGAAAAATTAGTTCAACTATGATCCTAAAGCAGAATCTCCTTGGGCAGAGCCTTGTGATTTGCAGATAGCTTTGCAAGAAGAAGAGTTTTTACATGTAAGCAAAAGCTAGGCTATCTTCCATACCACACAAACCTGAAAGGCTACTTCTACATTTTGTAGCAAATTTCATGGACAACTGCATTGTGCCATAGCTGAATTCTGTGATGCAATTTCACACTGTAAAACAAGCCAATTCTTACTGCCAGCATTTCTATTTCTCCTCTATCTCCCTCTCTGTCCAGTCCCAACTACGCACAGCAAAGAAGAACAAGTATTTTGCCAGGTTAGTGAATTGGACTGCTTATAGAAATACATGATGAGCACCACAGTCAGAGCAATGAAAGTGTCTGGGCCATGCAGTTACGTGGGGGGGCAGAGCAACAATTCCACTTCCATGTGCTAGGGAGAATATTTTTGTTTCAGTATAAAATGGCTACTGTATTGCCTCATAGGAAAACAAGAACCTCATGTTGCATGAGTTGTGGGTGGCTTACTTTTTTGCTCAAGCAACAAAGAGTGAAAAGGAGGATTTCCATGCCACATAACCTGCATCCATGACATTATGAAGCCCCTTAGTCTAAAGAGTATGTATGAATTACAACAAACAACACTAAAATATGTCAAAATACGTATTACCAATTTAAGCCATTGATGATAAATAAGCTTTCACTGGTGTGGAGTCCATTCTGGACCCAGTAAGTTGTTTTCTTTGCACTGGATAAGGCAAACTTTCATTTCTTAATAAGCAAAGACCATAATAGCTGCAGAAGAGTCTCTTTGACAATTTCTTATTGCAGCTGACTACCAACTAATCAGCACCTCAATACAAAAATATATTTTTGTATTTGAAGTAGGTGGCTGTACTGGCTAAGTACATCTTTAAAATGATGGAATTCCAAAGGAAAGGACTCAGTGACTCCAGAAAGCACCTAAAGTGAATTTTAACAAGCATTTGTGCGCTGAATAAATGGCAGTATAGAAATCCGAGAGCCACATGCTACTTCTTCAGATCTGATACTGGAGTAATCATTGCTTCATCTCTGGCAGTGTTCAAGTCAGGTTGGACAGAGCCTTGGTGACATGCTCTAGGGTGATGCATCCCTGCCCTTGGCAGAGGGTTGGAACTAGATGATCTTACGGTCCTTTCCAACCCAAACCATTCTGTGATTGCTAACAACACTGATTTCAATCTATTTATTCAGATTGAGAATGTATCAAACCCCCAGACTTCTCCTTTTCCTCTGAAATGAGAGAGAGACTTAAGTCTGACAGTCTCTTCATTTCTTGCTCCCTTGTATGGTGATATGGAACCTTCTCTGATAGTAACCAGAGACTGCACACTTCATTTTATTGCGTGCAATGTCACTCTGAACTGGAACTATGGAGAAAGGACATGGAGATAATAAGAAAAGGAATTCAATTTCATAGCTCCTCTTCATCTAAATGTGCTTGCCTAAAGCAAAGATAGTGCAGGTAGAGTGGTATCAAGCAATGATCTGAGCAGTGATCAAAGGTATGGGAGCTGGACACAAACTTCAAACAGGAAAAATGTTCTTAGAGGGGAAATGAAATCTGCTGTGTTTAAGACAAGGTAAAAGAATGACCGGATGGCATAACAACTGTCTCAAGAGGGCTTATTTTGCCCTTTACTTGCAGATTTTGTTAACTTGTGTTGGTAATAGGAAGATACTCTTCCATCAATGATTTGCAGTGCACTCTCATTCTGTGGGCTGCAGCACTGCTGTTCCTATGAGGATCCAGTACTCAGCAGTCATCAGTATAGGTAAAACCTATGCTGTTGTTTGAAGTTCCTTGAGAATCCCACAGAGACTACTAGGACCAGTAGAGCACAGCAACAGCAATTCCCACTGCTATAGAAGCTATAGCAGTTGCATCTAAAGCAGCCTGAAAAAGAAATCTAAGAGAAGACAAATTGACTGTCAGACCAAAATGAACTTTCATTTATCTGTGTACTCTCTAATGGTGACTTCTGAATAATATACTCTATTTCAGACCAGTTCAGCACAGTCAGCTTCAGTACTGCTACAGGATCATTTGAAATGATCACCTGAAGGTGAGATGTTGACCATTAACTCACAACACAGAGGTACATGTTCCATTTTCTTTAGAAACAGCTTATCTCTTGAGAGCTGTTAACTTGTGACCCATAGAAATACCAATACTTTATGAATCTTTTAGAAAGACAGGGAAGCATCAATACCATGATATGACTTACACTGGTCACAGGAAAACTTGGTCTACATCATTATATGAATGAATTCTGCCTTGCTATGCCTTTATGTTGCCCAGCAAAACAGTCTGATCCGAACAAAAGCCCTTTTAGTGCTACCAATAAACAAACAACTGAATAATTCAGTGTATTTCTCTGACAACAGCAAAGGTAGTTTGTCCTTTCAGTCCATCCATACTACTGCTCAGAAGCAGCTAAACAGAACATATGTGTGAAACAAATTCTCTCTTTTCGTTACCTAACACACTGATAGCAGAATGAAATCATGCAGCTCTGTATTTTATAGGATACTGTGGAAGACACAGAGCCATTGAAATCAAACTTTTTTTAGTTTGCTTAAAAAAAATCCATTATTAATAATATTTTCAGATGTAATGCTAACCTGTTCCATCTTGACTTGAATTCTATTGCCTGATTTCAACAATTACAGATGGTTGCAGCAAGACTGGTGTTCTGTTTGTGGTCCTCGGCCTGTTTCATTGATCACTGTTCAGCCTTGTGTACAAATGCAGTTATTAGTCCACAGCTAGGCTTTTAATGCAAGATGTTCTGTGAAGCTTTCAGAACCAAGTAGAGAAGCCTTAGTTAAAATGAATAAGTCATTCCTTTTATGGCACCCTCTGTCTTCAAAGCACAGCTTCCAGCTTAATTAAGCAAACCAGGTTCTGTGCGCCCAAGCTGAGAAGCATTTATGTTATGAGATGACAACTCTTTAAAAACAAAAAAATCCCTAGTAATTTTGATGCTCTTCTTTGATTCAGATGCTAGAACTGGTAGCAAATTTTCTGTGAATGAGGTAGGGGTTTGCTGGAGAGGATATATTAAAGGGAAGGGTGATTTAAAAAATATTATTTTTCTTTCTTTTTCTCACCTTTATAATCCATTTCCATAGAAGATGTATAGATAGTTTTATGTAAGGTTAGGCATATAGCTCATTTTCCACTGCATGTTCTATTCCGGTGGCAGGGAACATGCAGGTTTAACTTAATTCTACATGAATCTGCATTAATTCAGGCTCTGTACCTGCATTTTTCTCAAAGGAGGAATTATAAAGGTATAGGATGCCTAGCCAGAAACAGTCTTCTTCCTACATCTACATCTACATTACCATGAAATTCCCAATACCCTCTCTCTCATATGCAGTCTCAGTGAAGTTTCCAGAAACAAAGCTACGGCTTTCTAACCTTGCAAGGAGAAGGAAAGATGACCACTACACCTGCACCTTCCAGAAGTGCACAAATACAAGGGGATTTTCCTCTTTGAAATCAAACAGAATATATTCAATCTAATTCATACAAGTAAATATTAAGAGTGGAACTATCAAAGCAAAGCTTGTCACATAACTAGAGGTTTAGCTGAGTCTTGTGAGAAGTGCCGGACCAAATAGAAAATAAAGCTTATGAAAAATGCAAGAACGAGAGCACCAAAAACCAGAGGAAATTAAGTATTAATCATGTTACATGAAGCACATACGTCTCCAGGAGGAGATTTTCTTTACTTTGTAACCTGCCTTTGGGTTCATTAGGTTTATAGTTACCTCGGGAACAGTGGTAGCAAAAGAACCAGAAAATATTAGACTGGTGTTTTATACCCAGAATTTATTTAGCTACAAAAAGGTTGCAAAAAATATTGCTTAATTGCTTCCATATCCTGTAACTTTTAAACCTTCCTGAATGTTCTTTCTTCCTTTTTCCCCCCTTTCTTCTTTCCCCCCCGCCTATTTTCACTAAATTTGAATACATTTGAACCATGCCAAACTAAGAAAATGATGCAGAGAAACATTTTGAAACACACATTTAAATACTCTCAGATTTTTTAATCAAAGTTTTCAGATTTTTCATTACATTTATATTCAATTAATTCTGTGTAGACTTCCAACTTAAAATTCTACTATATAAAAAAATACATGAAGTGCTGGCACTGATGTACCTTTATAATTAATGAAAAGGAACAGGCATTCTCTTCTCTAATGATGATTCTGCCCTAAAATCACTTATTTGACACCATTCACTTGGAAGAGACTGAAGAGTATCTCATACCTAGATATCGAGAATGAAGATGTCCACAGTTCATTGCTGTGATGCAGCTAGCCTATTTATTTATTGCTAGCACAACATTCACAACTTGCTCATCACCACTTTGTAGTCTACCTTTACGCATTGAAGAGCGTCTACTTTTCAGGCTGAAACTCAAAATTAATTCTGCTTTATATTAGCAATACATGCCAAAACCATATGCCAAAAACTCAAGCAAAAATTTTTCTTTGGACACCTGAAGGACCTAATGGTTATTCCTCAACAGCACATCCTTTTCCAGTCCATCTAGTAAAGCAAAGTGAGGTAGAACATAACAGTATAAACTGTAACCTTACCTGAGTGCTTTTAGAAGATGATTCATGTCAATGTATTACAAATACATAGAAATGGTGCAAACTCTGAATGAGAAAGGATACATTCGTATGGCTCCTGTCCTTGTTCCAATTGCCAGGATTTTCTGCACTGGATCAAAAGCTAAGGCAGTGGGTAGGTAAGGAAAGCCATGGCGAACCGTCTGAAACAGAATAAATGAGCAAAGTGATTAAGCTGCATCCACACATAACAGCATGTACGCATAAAGGCACTTATACTTTGCTATATGTTGTACAACTTGCAATGAATTTCAAGAAAAATATTAACAGAATCACAGAATGATTTGGGTTGGAAAGGACCTAAGATCATCCAGTTCCAACCTCCTACCATGGGCAGGGACACCTCCCACTAAACCATGTCACCAAGACTCAATCCAACCAGGCCTTGAACACTGCCAGGAGTGGAGCATTCACCTCCACAGCCAACCCCTTCAAGTGCCTCAGCACCCTCACAGTAAAGAACTTTTTCCTTATATCTAACCTGAACTTGCCCTGGTTTAGTTTATACCCATTACCCCTTGTCCTATTGCTCAAGGCACTGATGGTGAGTCCCCCTTCAGCACCCTCGTAGGCCCCGCTCAGGCACTGGAAGCTGCTCTGAGGTCTCCACACAGCTTCTCTTCTCCAGGCTGAACAGTCCCAACCTTCTCAGCCTGTCTCCATATGGGAGGTGCTCCAGCCCTGATCATCCTCATGGCCTCTGGAGTTGCTCCAATAGCTCCATAACCTTCTTATGTTGAGGACATGAGCAACGCACACAGTGTTCCAAATGGGGTCTCACAAGAGCAGAATAGAGGGGCAGGATCACCTCCTTCATCCTGCTGGTCACGGTTCTCTTGATACAGTTGTATATTATTTTGAATAGGGGCAAGTCTCACTCATGTCAATTTCTAGATATGGTCCTTAGTGATATTTTAAATGGTTTTGTTGTAACAAAGTAGATTGCAATGCATATGCCAACATACTACTGATACATATTGCTTATATTGTATAATGAAAGATAACCTCAATACGCAATATGCAGCTGAACTAGAAATAGAAGACAGACACATAATATGCTTTGAAAACACTGCCACAAATAACCTTAGCCTCCACAGAAGAGCTTCAACAGAAAGAGAACACATCCAGGAGAAGAGATCAAAACAAGAAATAAAATGAATTGAGTCTATGAGGTAAAAATCCTCAATAAAAATTAAAAAACCAAAGATGCCAGAAATGCTCTCAAAATAAGCAACTGAACCACTCACACTTTCTTAACATCTGTGTGTAATACTATACTTTTAATTCTAACTTTTGCATAGATATATTGAGGAATAAATGAATTGAGGATGATGCAACACATTCTTGAGTTTCAAGACCACCTCAAGCAACATGTTAATTTACCTTAACCCAGAGGTTCTGACCAACATGAGACCTGCCTGATTCTTATGAAGAAAAATCTGATGAGGGAGAACACTAACATAAGAAAAAAACTGGAAATAACTAAAGTAGAATATACAAAGACACCTCCAAATTAACTGATTCATTTTGTGTGTGACTGCTTACTGAAAATTGGCTAACAATATATTTCTTTTGTATAATATTACTGATTTATACCATTTAATAGAATATTGAACTTGAGGATTGACTTTTTTTTTTTTTTTAGCACATGGTTAGGATTGCAGGGGAAGTACTTTGAACTGAATAAAATTTAACTTTTTAAAATATCTTTTTATTCCTTGAAAGGATCTGGCTCATGAACTGTGTCCACTAAAGCGTTCAGCAGTCTCTACGGAACAACTTCAACAAATGGGATTACTTATTTGCAGACCTGTTGAGTAAAAGGCAGCTGATGATTCCTACAGCTGTATCACTCCAACTCTTCCAGTACAGCTGGAAACACTTGAACCGATATTCCGAAGTAGCTTGGGAACAACCAAATGTATGTTTTTCAGCACATAACCACCTCCTTAAAAGAAATCTTACTGATCTCCAATCTTAATTATTGCTGATAGTGGATGTTGTTAAAAGAATGTCTAATTATTAGTTTCTAGATTGCAGAAATCCAGAAACGTGCTACTTCAGCAAGCTGTAGAAAAGTCATTAACTTCTTATGTCAATGGAGATATTTGTCAAAGATTTCCACAATTGTGTTTCTGGCTTAGTTTGGTTTGAGGTTTTTTACCACCTTGTCATGTGGCAGGATCAACCAAATATACCTTTTTATTTGACATCTAAGCTGGAACTCAACTTATATACTATTAAAATGGTTTTGCCTCTCATGCCACAAGCACATAGGGAAATACAAACTGTAGTATTTTCCAGTGTGCTGAATGTCTGGCCTAACTTGCATTACTAATTTCCTGTTACGTTTGAGATTTCTGGGTTCTTGGGAATAGATCTTCCTTTTCCGGAAGAAAAACCCCAAACAAAAATGTATTGCAAAAATGATCTTTTTTATTATTAATTTTTAGAAATCCTCTCTAAGAAAGTTTGAACTTCTAGCAATCCCAGGCACAGTATTTGTTTCTGATGTTTAGCCAGGACTCGAGCTTCCATCACTACTTTTTAGAGCTAAGAATGCAAAGATCAGTGAGTTTAAAGTCTTACTTGCACTCTTGCCCATATGTATTTAGCATAGGCTTTGTATTTTGGTATTTTTGCAATCTCCAGTCAGATTTTTCGTTTGGAAATTTTAATTGAGTGCAGTTACTGAGACAAAACAATGGTTTAGAAGTAGAGCCAAAACTCCCAAACTCTAGGACTGACTCAAAAGTGTTATTTATGTTTCGCAGCCATCTTCTAAATTTGAGTATTTCCAGTAATTCCAGTTGCAAAGTTCTTGGGAATGGAAAATTCTGCTGTTTGTAGAATCAATCAATCAATCAATCAATCAATCAATGTTGAAGACTATTTAACATCCAAGTAAATGACAATTTTGAAGTAAAACATTTAAATTTATTAAGACTTTAAATAAAGGACAAATACAGTGTGGCTGGAGAGCCAAGCTACAGGGTACACAATTAAGGCAGAAAAAGATGCCTTTCTGGTTGAGATTTTGGCGCAAATGAGAGCAGCCTCCAAAATGGTTCTGAAGATCAAAGAGAAGAACAGGGACAAGCTGTAACACTTCAGGCCCTCAGACTCTTCTCCTTAGTCTTGGTCCAATAGCCTTTCTATTTCCAAGTACTGTGAGGAAATGACATGACAAGCTAACACTTGAAGTGGATATGAGCATACATCTAAGAATTAGGAACGATTCTAGAACTGCACCTGTGCTTCCTTAGAGCATTCACTAATACAGATCAAGAAGAGGGGAAAGCCACAAAATCAACTTGATTCGAGGGTGACAAGAAAAAATTCGTTCCTACTTAATCTGAGTTGTGTCTGGTAAGAACAATGTAGACCAAAACTACCAATGGTCAGCAGAAAACACATGGCAAAGCAGGTTTTTTTCCAAAATTAAACCATCTCAACAAGTCAAAGGAGAAAAAGGATCCTAAAACATCAATTTGTGTTCACGGGACCTCCCTACCCTGGATGGCCTAAGGAAGAAAAAAAAGGAGAGAAAAAGCAGACAGCAGATGGAGCCAGGGCTGCTTTTCTCCACGTTATCCAGCTTTCTTCTATGCCTCCTCTGCTAGCATGCAGTCTCTAGGGGCAGCCTGTGCTCCCTATGACAAACAAGTCTATGTGCAGTGTGTGAAATAACTTTGAAACAGAGCAGTTAGAAATGCCGCAACAATTTCAGCACTAATTTTTGTTCAGCTTTGTTATTCTCTTTCAAATTTTCTTTTAAACCATTGTAAGCAAATATTCTTGCGGTGAATTGCATATATCTATATATATATATATATCGTTAAAGTAACCTTCACACAACCAGTTTACCTATATGAATATAGGAAATTGATTATTTGGGCTTACTAGTATTCTACCACAGAACACTTTAATATGCTGTACAGAAAATAACAATCTCTTTCCCAGACACTTATCTTACTCAGATATTAAGGAGGGCCATGAGGATGATCAGGGGCTGGAGCACCTCCCGTATGGAGACAGGCTGAGAAAGTTGGGGCTGTTCAGCCTGGAGAAGAGAAGGCTGCATGGAGACCTCATAGCAGCCTTCCAGTGCCTGAGCGGGGCCTACGAGGGTGCTAAAGAGGGACTCATCATCAGGGCCTTGAGCAATAGGACAAGGGGTGATGGGTATAAACTAAACCAGGGCAAGTTCAAGTTAGGTATAAGGAAAAAGTTCTTTACTGTGAGGGTGCCGAGGCACTGGCACAGGGTGCCCAGAGAAGTGGTAAATGCTCCACCCCGGCAGTGTTTAAGGCCTGGTTGGGCAGAGCCTTAGGCAACCTGGTCTAGCGTGAGACATCCCTGCCCATGGGAAGGGGCTGGAAGTGGATGCTCTTAAGGTCCTTTCCAACCCAAACCATTCTATGATTCTATGCCATGATATATGTCATTAACTGAGAAAAGAAAATCTCAGTAGTATAATATATACTATCCACTATAATTTTCACATGGTTTATAACACAACCTTTCAGCAGAAGAGGTTTGGGTTTTTTTTTTTTCCTATGTCAGTTTTATATTAGACCGCAAGGACCATTTTTTCAAAGTGATTTTTTTTTATTGCCTAAATAGCTTCAAAAATACAGGACTAAACTTAATCTTAAACCAAATCAATTAAGTAATAGGGCTTATAGTCAAATCTGCCCCTGCCATTTGCATAAACTTAAAATTTGTAACTTTTCTATTAGTGTTTTACATCTACTCTGTTTATCAGACAACAAAACTTACCTACTTAGCTAATTATTTTTAGATGTCTATTTGCTAAAACTGACCTCTATAGTCTAAGCCTGTGACTCTGGATGTAAAATCTACATCCAAACTGTGACCAGCATGTCACATGCAAAAACCCCATTGAAGCAAGTAACTGATCGGTTTACCAGCTACAGGATGAATGTTGACTGAAACCTATATAGCCTTTTACTCAGCTATACAGGAAATTAAGAAATGCCAATGATTACAGCTTTCACCAAGGTTGCAGTGGTGAAAATGGGTGCTTACAAAGATAAGCTGCCATGTATTGTATGGCTTTAAGACGATGACATCCCTCATTTGCGCCTGGAATTAAGACTGTTGCCTGCTCACAAAAGATGGAAAGAGGACAAAGTATCAGTAGGCTTTCAACCTGGAAAAAAAAAATGTACCCCTCCTGTATTGTTTTCTTATTAGTTAAATTTTCATTTTGTAAAAGGAATATTTTTTGTAAAAACCTAGCTTCATTAAAACTTTACAAAATTTCAAACCCAAGCCACAGATTCCATGTAACCCTTAACCTACATTAGGAACCAAGGCTTCTGAGCATCTTCACAGGATATCCTAAAAAGTATCTAAGAAAAAAGAGCCACCAACCCCCAAAACCCCAGGTTAATACATCCATAAGCAGCTCTTTTATTCTGTATAAAGCTTAGATGATCTTATGTTCCTTTCCAACCCTAACTATTCTATGATTCTATGAAACAGTCATAGGAAAAAACATCTACTCTGGAGCTATAAGCTGGGAAGGTTGATTGCTGTCCCCCGCAAGATGGTATAATAAAGACTAATGGAGCATGGGGATAAAGACATTTACAGAAGCCAGCAGAGCTTCTACAATAGCAAATCCTCTCTAACTTCTCCAACTCTATGAAGCTGTCAGCATGCATGTAAATAAAGAGAATATGAATAGAATCACAGAATGGCTTGGGCTGGAAAGGACCCTAAGGTCATCTGGTTCCAACCCCCTGCCATGGGCAGGGACACCTATCACTAGACCAGACTGCTGAAGGCTCTGTCCAACCTGACCTTGAACAGTGTCAACAACAGAGCATTCAGAACTTCCCTGGGCAGCCTGTGCCAATGCCTCACCACCTTCACAGTAAAGAACTTTTCCTTATATCTAATCTGAACTTCCCCTGCTTCAATTTAAACCCATTACCCCTTGCCCTATTACTACGGTCCCTGATACAGAGGACTGTATGTAACAATTTATGTAAGTAAGAGAATACGCATATGTAAGAGAATACATATAATTATTCCAAAAGCCTTCCTGTAACATTCCACAGCAACATTATTAAAAAAATAAAGTTGTCATGGGAGTGAAAAAAAGGTTTTTTGGTGGACTGAAAGCTGGTTAGATAACAGAAAATAAAGGATAGGGTTTAACAGATTAAATTACCATAAGGAAAATTCAGAAAGTCAGGTACTCCATGGAGAAGTGCTTGGACCACTTTTATTCATCATTTTTAATTATTTGTAAGAGGCAGTGAACACTGAAATCTCTAAGTTCATAGCTGATAGCAAGCGCCTTTGCATAGTGAAATTCACTGCTGATGGGTATTAACTCCTGAAAGACCTCATCAGCCTGAGTAACTGTGCAAGAAGGTGATAAATGAGATTCACTGTGGACAGATGTAAGATCAAGAACCTAAAGGAAAAAACTCACAGCTCTTCATTAGGTTTCCATAATGCTGAATTTGGAAATAGCATTTACACTTCAGGAAAGTGATTTTGTGGGCATTGTTGGCATTCCTCTGAAATCTATGGTTTAATGTGCAGCAGAAACCCAAAAAGCCAAGTAATATTGGACATATTTCATCAGGAAGAGCATAAAGAAAAAAACAGAGGGCACTGTTTTGCTGCTATATAAAACCTCTGTGAGACCATTACTTGAGTACTATGAAGCTCTAGTCTCTGTATCTGTAGTAGTCAAGTCAAAGCTGACACAGAGAAGGCAACCAATGCTCAGGGTGTCAGACACAAGCCTTATCAGGAAAGACTAGAACTGCCAAAACATCAGTTTGGAGAGGAGAAGGCTGTGAGGGGATATGACTGAGATTTTCACCATCAAAAGAGTGGGTAAGCTAAACATGGAACTGTTATTCAGCTAAACCACAGAGTAACTCAAAACAAATGAAAAAAAAGTTTAAAACAGGAAAAAAAAAAAAACAACCAAAACACCAAAACCAAAACTTCCTTATACAACAACCGGTAATGAAACTTGCCACTGTGAAGGCTAACAGTATCAGCAAGTTCAAAAAGGCATTAGACAAATTCATGGACATTACTGAAATGGATTATAAAAGGACTGGCTATGAATACACTCTGATGTCTCTAATGAAGTGGTGGTGGATGATGGGACATTAGAAAGGGAATGGTCTATAGAAAGTGATCCAACTTACTACTCTCCCCTCAATGACATATTCTATTGCCACTGTCAGAGACTGACTGCTGGGAGATATGGACCATTGGTTTGCTTCAGCAGGGTATTTCTCATAAGCTTATTATCTTCACCAAGGGGATGACCTCCCTGCTGAAGACTGCCAAGAATCTTCTTGCCCAGCAAGTGAATAAGTCTAGTCACAACCTGGGGGAATTTGCGCTTGGTTGATACCAGTGCTCCCTCAGGGAGTTTGGCAAGTTCAGAATCTCTGACGGCATGTACTGTGGTGGCTCTGGGTTGGTTGGTTAATGACTCTACCACCCCAATGAGGTCTCCTCGGCCATATTCAGCTGTCAGGTGCTTTTTGCCATCATCCACCCGAATGACTGAGCGAAGGCGACCGTTCAGCACAATGTACGTGCTGTCTGACTTGTCTCCCTGCCTGTAGACAGCTCGCCCAGCCTCAACCTCCATCCAGTCCAGGGCAAAGTCCATCTGCCTAACAAATGGGGATATCCTCTTCACCACAGTGTGGGCCACACCAAGAACCACACTTGGCTGCGACCGCATTATCTTGGATATCACAGCTCGGGCAGCAAGTGGGATGCTGGGAATCCTGCCAGCAATCCCTCCACCGTGGCAATTATGCCAGTGCCTGAAGATGTGCCACTGACAGCTTTTACTCTGGAGCTCAACCACGCTCTCAGCGCTGTGGGTCCTGCTTTGCTGCTCACCAGTGATAACATCAAACAGCGACTTGGTGCTGCTGCACTGGACAGTATCCATGAATACAGACTAACCAGCTGGCTGGGACAACAGGAAGACATCCACCGCATTGTGCTCTATCAGGCAGACAGCACCCTTACGCCCTGGACCCAGCGCTGCATCCGGCAGGCTGACTGCATCCTGATTGTGGGGCTGGGAGACCAGGAGCCAACTGTTGGAGAGCTGGAAAGGATGCTGGAGAACACTGCAGTCCGAGGCCAGAAGCAACTGATCCTGATTCATAAGGAGGATGGGCCTCTCCCTTCCCGAACTGTGGAATGGCTCAACATGCGGAGCTGGTGTTCTGTCCATCTTCATCTCCATTGTCCACATAGAGTCTTTTCCAGAAGAAGCCTGACCAAGCTGATAAAGACGTACTAACGCATATGCCAGAAACCTCCTGACCATCACTCCGACTTTTCCCACCTGGCTCGTGTTCTGACTGGGAATGCCATTGCACTGGTGCTTGGTGGTGGAGGAGCAAGGGGCTGCTCCCAAGTGGGAGTGTTCAGAGCACTGACTGAAGCTGGCATCCCTGTGGATATGATCGGAGGAACATCTACTGATGCCTTCATGAGTGCCTTGTACGCCAAAGAGCGTAGCTATAATCAGATGAGGATCAAAGCCAGGCAGTGGGCCATGGTTATGAACTCCGTGTTTAAGACTATTCTGGACTTGACGTATCCAATAACCTCTATGTTTTCAGGAGCATCTTTTAACAACAGCATCAACAATATCTTCAAATATAAGCAGATAAAGGACCTGTGGATTCCTTACTTTGCCATCACAACGGACATCACAGCCTCAGCAATGCGGGTCCACACAGATGGCTCTCTGTGGAGATACATCTGTGCCAGCATGTCCCTCTCTGGGTATATGCCTCCTTTCTGTGACCCGAAGGATGGGCACCTCTTGATGGATTGAGGCTACATCAACAACATCCCAGCTCATGTTGCACGGTCCACAGGTGCAAAGGTGGTGATTGCCATTGATGTGGGGAGCCGGGATGAGACTGACTTCACCAACTATGGTGACTGCTTGTCTGGCTGGTGGCTGCTCTGGAAGAGGTGGAATCCACTGGCTGAGAAAGTCAAGGTGCTGAACATGGCCGAGATCCAGACACGCCTGGCGTACGTGTGCTGCATGTGGCAGCTGGAGACGGTGAAAAACAGCGACTACTGCGAGTACATCCGCCCGCCCATCAACCGCTACGGCACGCTGGACTTCGGCAAGTTCGATGAGATCTGTGAGGTGGGATATCAGCACGGGAAAACTGTGTTTAATGTCTGGTGCAGGAGTGGAGTCCTTGACAAGATGCTGAGAGACAGGCAAGAGACTCGCAAAACCAAAACTAATAACGAGACCTGTCCCACCACCTCCTTCACAGACCTGGCAGAAATCGTGTCCCGGATCGAGCTCATGAAGGCACCGGTGGCAGATGGTGAGTCAGATTACCAGACTGAGTACGAGGAGGAAGTTCTGGACACCCAGAAGGATGATGCGTCAAAAAGAGCGTGACCAGCAGGTCAAAGGAGGTGATCCTGCCCCTTTATTCTGCTCTTGTGAGACCTCACTTGGAGTATTGTGTACAGTTCTGGTGTCCTCAACATAAAAAGGACATGGAACTGTTGGAACAAGTCCAGAGGAGGCCATGAGGATGATCAGGGGACTGGAGCACCTGCCATAAGAAGATCGGCTGAGAAAGCTGGGGCTGTTCAGCCTGGAGAAGAGAAGGCTGTGTGGAGACCTCATAGCAGCCTTCCGGTATCTGAAGGGGGCATATAGGGATGCTGGGGTCTATATACTATATTTTTGTAGTATAGTCAGTAGACTATATTTTAATATGCATTGTTTTCACTCTACTAGTTTTAAAAGGCCTGTATGCAGACCATATGACTGGTTTTTGGAACATGCTAGTTCTACTACACATTACATAATTTTTCAGTTTCCTCATACAGATCGGCCCTGAAAATGAAAGTACATCAAAAAGGCATCTTCCAGACAACAACCTTAAGAAATAAATAACTAAAATGTAGAAGAAATCTTGCAGTCCTTTCTAAAAGTCCTCTTTTCATGACCAAAAATCTCTGCAACAACTTCAGAGATGGTATTTTTCCACTGTCAGCTTCAGTTCATCAAACTGGATGTTAAGAACTATCATCAAATAAGAATGGTCCTATTCACACAGGATTCATATACAAATAGCCAAGTTAAGTGAACCATGGGGGAAAAATAAGGCCTTCTGAATTTCAAAAAGCATTCTCATTCTTTGAAATATACTGTAGCATATCAAAAATACACAACTAATATAATTCAGTCAAAAATCTACAAATAAATAAAATGACATTGGTCCTCAAAGAAGGGTGCTGGAGAGGGACTCTTCATCAGGGACTGGAGCAATATGATAAGGGGTGATGGGTATAACCTTAAACAGGGGAAGTTCAGGTTAGATATTACAAAGAAATTCTTTGCTGTGAGGGGGTTGAGGTGCTGGCACAGGTTGCCCTGAGAAGTGGTAAATGCTCCATCCCTGGCAGTGTTCAGAGTTGGACAGGGCCTTGGTTGACATCATCTAGTATGAGGCATCCCTGCCCATGGCAGGGGGTTGGAACTGGATGATCTTCAGGTTCTTTCCAACCCAGAATGTTTTATGATACTATGAACTGCATTATTCCCAATTCACAGCAGAGATGAGGTTGGAGGGGAATTCTGCAGACTGTCTAGTCCAACTCCCCCTGCCCAAAGCAGTGCTTGGGTTTTAATTTGATTGATCTACTTAAATCAGTCTTGCTGTGGCCAAGCAACCACTTGACAACCACACCATCTTGCCACATCTACCACAGCACTGAGTCACAGCTTTATAGTAAGTTAATATATTAAGGATATATTAAGGATAATACATGAATATAATCATCCCAAAGTAGGTATTACCCCGTTTGGAGAAACCCTAAATTCAAGAGAAAAATTGTATGCAAATGTTTTCACATTTTTCATTCCCACTCTTTCTAAAAAGAACTATATCAAGTTTAAATAAAAAAAATTACAAAGGGGGAAGAAAATGAAGAATACAACAATGAAGGAATTGCATCCATTTTCAGTAAATATGTTATAGCAGACTCCTCACTCTTACCATTTAAACTGGCAAGAAGAAATGAGGCATCAACCTATAGAAAATGCCATGGACTTTAATAGGATTATATTTTGCCTTGGCTTTAATGTAAAATACTAACAATAAAAAATCCAACCCTAAACCACTGATTTCAAACCCCAGTTTGTCCTACCTACTTAAGTAAGGCTTCTGTCCAAATGGGAATCATTATAGCCAAAGTAACTCAAATAATAGTTCATATTGATTTTGTTGTTGTTGACTCATTTAACCATATTACTCTATAACTTGAAATAGTTTGGTTCAGAATATCATCTGTCTGATGGAGATCTGGCTTATAGGGATTTACAAGAATTGTAAAATCATTCAACATAGCCAAGAGCCTTGAAAGAAAATATTTTTGTCGTCACTATGACTGTGGATGCAGAAAATATCATAATTTCATAACTTTAATGGAGAAAAAAATAATCTATTTTATTAAAGTTCTACCAGAACAACATAGCAATAACTCTAATTCATCTTGCATGTCTTCTCACTTCTTGATTTTCTGCGACTTTGCTACTTCAGGCTGATTATGTCATGTTCTATTCTGGCTGATTGTGGTTCCTGTTCTGAAGCAGATGCTTTGTTTGCTACTTTCAGAATACTTCAATTAAAAATAAAATAAAATAAAATAAAATAAAAAAACCTCACCAAAAAAACCACCCACACAAAACATAAAAATTCAAAACCCCCAAAGAGCCATAAAATTTTTTGCACAAAAATGCCCTGCTGCTGTGATACAAGAAAACTCTGCTACTCCATTAAAGTTCTTGAAGGTTGATTTTTCTATTATTATTTTTTAAATCTACAGAAACACAGTGTTAAACCCCTACTTTGCTATATATTCTTGATGTATTTCCATGGAAATCTTTCATTTTGCAACAAAATTTGACATTCCTACATGCTAAGATCATTACCAGATTTCATTACTAGCGTCTACAACACATTTACTACTTATTACTAGCTCATAATTAATATTCTCCTACCTTCTTTCTGTATGCATATTGTATGCAATGAGGACTTTTTTTTCTGATGTTGAATGGAGAATTTAATCAGGAGATACTGGCCAGCATCCCACCTCACATATGGTGAAGATATACTCCAGATTAACTTGGGATATTCTGTGGCAGGTTTTGCCCTCTAAATCAGTGAAATCCAGCAGATCTTGTACATTACTATTCCCTGCTGCATTGTCCATAATGCTACCAAGGGCACAGCTCACAGACACAAATGAAGGCACTATATTTAAAGATGGTAAGAATCAGATCTCTGTTTACATAACCACATGCCAGTTTTCCTGCCTTTGCCTCATTCAGGGAGCATTTCAAAACATATGTAGGGACAAACGAGGAATAAACTAGGATTCTTTGGACCCACAACAATTAACTTTTATCCACAGCTACAGTGGAATGTATCTGTAATACAACTGAAAGCACATATCCATCCTTAAGGGATGCAATAGATAGAATGTGATGAACAAAGCCAAGATGAGCATTCATTATTTATTTAGAATGAATCTTTGTTGACGTCCAGTGGATAATGCAGAGACTTTATCTCACAGGAACACACAGCGAGTAACATCCATCCTTCCCACATGCTGCGTACTCTTCAAACTAGATGTGGTGGTGGACAGGAAAAAAATATAAGCAGGCAGTTCAAGAAAATAAAAGGTTCTATAAAGACTAGACTGCCACACATACAGACTTAACTGCATACCAGCTGAATAAGGAACCCGACTTCTGAGTGTCTGACATGGCATTCTTCTATAGCATATTTTTTAATATAACAAAAAAAAAAAGGATTGATTGGATTCAAATTCTGCAAGAAGACATGCTACCATATACACCTGCATCTGCACATATACAACTGAATTCAGTAAGGCAACTTTTGAATACATGCATTCATCAATTCAAAGCCTTAAATATTAAGGGTCAATTTTTTCTCCAGTACTGTATACAACCTAACTTCAAAGTAACCATAAAAAGTGTACCTCAGCAGACTTTGACCCTAGCTACAGGCGACAGATTGCCTCTAGCATTTTTTACTATTCATAGTCTATGCTGGTGATCTACTAGGAATGGACACAGCACTGCACTAAGATAACATCTTATTACATTTGAGCATATTTACTAGCCATCTGTACCTAACAATATTGCTTTCTCTCCTCTCCACAGATGCACATTACTTTTACTTCCAATCATAAAATCCCCTAACTTTCCCCTATAATGACTCTAACATATATTGTGACAAATTAACACATCCCTATAACCTGCTTTTCTAAACACTTTTTCTTAGAATAGCCAATAGACCAGTACATTCATGTAGCTTAGGGTATTTTAGTTCACTTCTCTACCGCTTCTTTTTCTCTGTTTCCGAGTGAATGTACTAACTTTTCACAGTATTTTCACACAGACTTTGCAAAGGGATCTGGGCATATACTATACACCAGGCAGTGTCACATGTCTCAGAATAAGAGTCAGGTATGAATGGAGATTCATCTGAAATAATCAAGTTAGAACAGGCTCTGTCTTAGATTTAGTCCATTCCACTAAGGATAACTGCATGTTTTATGTAGCCTACATATTTCTATTTGGAAAACCAAAAAAATCTCCTATTACTTCATAGTTTTATTCATAAACTTCTAAATAATTTCTCAGTCATTTCTCTAAACTAATGAGGTTTTCTTTCATAAAACGTAGAAAAGGTTGCTTATGCAGCCAATATTTTTACATGACAGCTCTAAGATCAGAACACTCCCTAAGATATGGGCCAATCAGGCTGAATTTTCTCCATCCTCCCAGAAAAGATTGAAAACCACTTTTCCCACTAAAAGAGTGAGAAAATGTTTCACTAACCAACCGGTGGCTCACAGGTGAGGTGAGGCATATCCAATTCAGTGTGCCCAATTCTACTACCTGGGAGTAACAATTAAGAGGATAAAAATCATGGAATACAGAATAAAGGAGAGATAACAAGAGCAAACTTGGGAACAGCAATTAGCTTAGTGAGAAAAGCCCTGTGTCCCAGGTATAAACTCAGCACAATTCTCACAAGATGAAAGTTGGCATCACCACAGCAGGCCTGAGCTATGTAAACATGAAGACACTGCATTCCTCGTTATGTTTCATGGTTTTTTTCACCATTTCTATGATATCCATAGGTTTCCCAGTCCAATAATTAGCTCAGGGAAGGAAGACTGGAGTTCTGCTATGATGATCTAATCTCTGAACAACTGCCTCTGAAAAAGTGACCCCTGAACCAAGAGAGTATTAACCTATGCCTAACATGCACTTTCAGTGAGGAGAGACTTTCTTTCTCATGAGGAAAACACATATCCTGATTTCAATTTTTTCCCAAGGACTCTATGTGA